CACAAGACCATAAATCCACCAGCACAGTGACCTGCAGAACCCGCCCAGCCCCAGCCCCAGCAGGATGTTAACCAGAGCGTAGGGACAAGACTGGAGACCTCTTACAGGACACCAGGCTCCAACAACCGGTCTTGGGCTCCCCAGCCACAGAGATGCTGCCCTGGTGAACACAGCACACCCATCAGCAAGGCCACTACACTGTGACACTGAAAGGGCTCCCAGCCTAGGAGAAGAAAGGGCGACTCCACCTTGGATCCTGTAAGGACAAATGGGGAAACTGAGGCCTCTGGGTCCTGCCTTAGGCTCCCCCTACCCAGCGCTAACCTTACTGAGAAGAGAGAGACTGAACTCAGTAGCAGAAAAATCAGACAACTCACTTGGCTACCAAAAGGAACCCACAGGACCAACCCAGTCTCACCCACCTGCCCTGCACTGTCCAGGTTCCCTGCTCCATGGGCCAAATAAACAGTGATGCTCAGTCCTGTGGTCCTGCTTACTTACTCAGAGCCTCAAGCCACAAAGACTCTATGGTGGCTTCCAGAAACGATATAATATAAATTAAAAAAACAAAAAACCATGCGACTAAGAGACAGTGCCAACTGGAACACACAGGAATGATCACCTCCCTTAAGAAAAAAGTCCTACATGGTTGTCTGGAGCTGAACAGATCTATTTTGAGCTTCCTGGAAGACCAAGAAAAAGGAGAGCTAGACCTTCATTGCTACTTAAGACAAGAACAGGCTCTTCTGACTTCCACCTATGAGGTCACTCCAGGACACCAGTGGGAGATTGAGGAAGGCCTCATCTACTCCAAACCATCACAAGGCCCTCCCTATGCCTTCACCACTCACCAGTGGGCAGTAAGGCCAGTGACCACTCAGTCTCTGCCTAGGTTCACCTATGACAGGTAAATGAATCAACACACACACACACACACGCACGCGTGCGCACACACACAAATACACACACACACACAAACACACACATGCACGCACATGCGCCCATCAGGACATGAAACTTGTACCTGGCACCCCAGGCACATGCAACAGGCACTACCAACACTGTACCCAATGGAGATTCAGAGAGCAAAGGATCACACCGGTAAGCTTCAGTCCTTTTCCAAGTGCCCCCTTCCATGACTGAAACCCCAGGCTAGCAAAACAGGTAAGACAGACACCAGGAGAAAATGATGCATCCTCCCACACTGAGCCAAAGCCATGGAGAACAGGGAGCCAGCTCAAAGAACAAGGGAGCTGCAGAGGCCCTGCAGAAGCTAAAGGGTAAGGCTGGGGTCCTCCTGGCCCCACTTGGGATCTCTGAATCCCATAAGATCCCTGAGCCCTCCAGTCCAGCCAGAGAAGTAAAGACACCTCCCTGCTGAGTCATCTCATCCCAAGCCAGCCAGCCCCAGGGAGCACCAGCCCCTCGCACACCTCCCATAACTGACACCTGGGCTCAGCTGGGAAACAGTGCTGACACCAGAGCCGCACCCAGCAGGGCCTCAGGCGGACACTGGGCCTGGCTCCAAACAGTATGGAGGGTGGCAGCCCAGAGCAACGTGGGGGACGGACTCTGACCCAGGGAGCAACTTCTGAATCAGAGGAGAAAGCCTCAGTCCAACCCATCCAGGACCACAACCTGTTTAGGGGGCACAGAGACTCAGCCCCCATCCAAATCACAGTATAATTAGGACTGGGGTCTGTGCAGCCAGAACATGCATGCTCCTGCCTTTCCAGAGGGCTTGAGGGGCTGGTGTGCTGAGAGCTGGAAGGACCCCCAGCCCACACTCCCAAGTAAAAGACACAACAGGGGAGGGCGGAGGCATGCCCACAGATGAGGTATTTCAGGGGAAAGTGGGCACAGAATAAGCCACTGAGGCCAGGCCACAGGGAGGGCAGGAAGGCTCCTGGTCCTCGCCCTTAAGGGCTGGTCCCTGTGTGTGTGGAGGCCTCAGAGCATCTTGGGCTGCACAGGATGGGTGCTTCACAGGGACCAGCATTGAAAGCCCCAGCCCTTGGCAGCCTTGTTCAGTTTCGCTGAGGCAAACAGAGCCTGCAGCAAGAACCCAGAGCCTCAAGGCAGTGGGATGAAGCAGGAGGCCTGCAAGAACTAAATGAGACTGATCATTTTCCCGTTGGGGAGATCATCGATTCAGCTCTGGTATTGACACTTTGAAAGAATGTCACTAGCCCTGAAGGAGTCACCACCTCTGAATGAGTCTCTGGGCTGCTGCTGGGACGGTCCCTAAGCAACAGACAGTGATCCTTTATATGAAAGGATTGTCCTCCTGGGGAGGGGGCTGTCACCTTGGGGGACATGGAGCCAGAATTCAGCCCACCTTCGGGGTGACCACCCATGAGGTATGGGAGGAAAAACCTGGTCATTTAGTTGTTCAACAAACATTTCCATGTGACTTGAACCCTCTGCCTGTCCTGGCAGAGCTACTGCCTGGGGGTGGCACTCTGGACTAGAATGGAGATGAAGAAAGGGGTCTGTTGGAACTTAGTGACCAGTGCAGTGTATCAGATATGGATACAGGAGGGACGGGGCTAGCAGAATGGCAAAGGGCCTGGCTTTGGCCTTCAAGTGGAGGACACTGTGTTACCAGTCCCTAAGGGATACCTTACTGGCAGGGGCATCTGGAAGGGGGTACAGGGGACCATGGCAAAATGATGGCAGGGGATCACCAATGGCCATCTGAGCTCCAACTATAGCATCCAACATCCAAAGACCTAGAACCGCAATGACCCCGGGGCCCATCTCCACAGCAGCTGGGAGTGAAAGCTCTGCCCAACACTGTTCTGAGCACCTGTGAAACAGGAATAAAGGTGGTCGGCATCACAGAGGAGGAAACTGAAGCAACAATGCTCAGAGAACCTCCCAGGAGTATCCCTGCCTGCTGCCAGGAAGGTGGGCCAGGAGCCAGGTCACACGCTCAAAGTGATTCCACCAGGCCGCCCCTTTGGCCCTACACCTCCTTCTGCCACTGAGGTTAGGTAGGGACCCCCAAGCCAAGGATTCTAACCACCAAGGCAGGGTCCCAGCTCCACCCTACAGCCAGCACTAGGAGCCAGCAAGCCCCCTCCTGGTCTTGGGGCCACAGGGCCATGTATAAGCCAGGGACATTCAAGAAGAGTTTCCTCTGAGCTATGACGTGCTGTGCTCACGGACATTCTCCCCATGACCAACAATAAGAAGTAGACCCCTGGGGAAGATCCTAGCATACCACCCTAAATTCCTAGCATCACCCTAGGTCTTGAAGAACAGAGTCGCTAGGCCCAGCCACAGTTGATGACCACAATGTCCCCCATCTGCCCTTCAGTGGGCTCCCGCCCACCCCAAAGCAGAATCCATGTGCATGCACGCACACACAGTGGTCAGGCCAGAACTACAGGTTGCTATTCACCCTGGAGGCTGAGGAAGGCCAGGCCCACACAGGCAATATCATGACACCCACTGAAGCCCCAAGGTGAGTGCACAACTTCCCTGAGGCTTTCCGTTCTCTCTGGAAAAAGACGGATCACAGAGCCTTCCTATCCCCGGCACAGCACCCTGCATTTTGGACAGAATTCCCAGGTCAGAGGCCACAGGAAGAAACAAAGCAGGTGAGGGGCCCAGAGGCACACAGAGCCCTGGCCCAGGACACTGGTCTGCCAATGCCAGGGCCAGGGTAGGACAAATGAGCTTGTCCCGGCAGTGGTGAGTAGCTGTTTACATCAAAGGCCACACACAGGGCCATGGTGAGGGATGGCCACTGTCTGCAGGAAGAGGGCACAAAGACCCCCCAAATGAGAACCTCAACTCCATTCATCCTCACTTTCTCTCCCAGGACTCCACCCACCTGTGGCCAGCCAGCCAGTGTGGGTCCTAGGCAGCAGCGCGGACCAAAACCCACTCCCAGAGTGGGGAGACAGCACAGTCAAAAGGCCCTCCTGCCTCTGCTTGCTTCATGAAGAGGCTCAGGAGCCCACCCCAAAGGCCCTCTTAGACCCTCAAGGTTTTCTGCTCTCCCCTGAGCTAGATGCAAGCTGTCTGGGGTGCAGAGCTCAGCAATGGCTGGTTGCCACAGGCAAAACTCCAGCAACACCCATGGTCAGCCATACCCCAAACAGGCCCACAGATCTAGCCCCTGGTCAGAGAGGCTGTAACATTTCCACCCTAGACAGTGCCAAGGGGGTCTGGAAAGGTGCCCTGGATAGACACACCTGATTGGCACCCTACCTCACCTGCCCTGGCCCAAAAGGGTCTCACTCCAGACCACAGCACTGCTGGGAGAATTATAGTTGAAACGAATGGGGATTACGTGCAGTTCCCAGGGACTCCTTCACCAAGACTGAAGGTCAGGAGCACTTCCTCTGGAGACCCCCGCCTCCCCTGCCTTGCACACTTCCAGGGAGCATTGTTCCCTGGAACAATGGTCCTGCTCTTTCCAGTCCTGGCAAGCCCACCGGCCGGAAAGCCCAATAGACCCCTCTCCCACAGGCACTTGTTAGCCAGGCTGCAGCCTGGGAAACCCAGAGGCCTAACAGTCACTGCCCACAAGCCAGGCCTGGGCCCCAAGAGCTCCAGAGGAGGACACAGGCCTTACCCGACAGACTCTGAGCAAGGGTGGCACAGGGAACCCCCAGCTGCAGGAGGGGGCCCACTCAATCACCTCTTATGCCCTCTGGACAGAGGCATGCCAAGGCTCAAGTACACAAAGATCCACCCCACTCCAAGTAACCTCGGGCTGCTGGGGCCCTGCCCTAAGTGAAGTCCCAGTGTTCTTCCTCCTTCCTCCCCCTCCCAAACAGACTGTGGCTCCAGCTGGGGCAGGGAAAGAAGCTTGCCCAGCCCCCTTCAGCACACAGCAGGACTCCTCAAGGTGAGGGGCCCCAGTTCACACATTCTGAGAGTTGCAAAGTAGCTGGGTGCAGCAAGAGGACCCACGTGGAACCCGACTCCCTGAAAGACCCAGAGTTCCTGCCAGAGGCATGACCCGAGGGGGGGGGGTCACTTACCCGGAGGGGTGTCCCGGGTCCGCTAACCAACTTCCACGCCTGTCGTTTGAGCTCCACGAGTTTCGTATGGCAGTGGCGGCACCAGCCTCCCCCACCGGCCGTGTGACCCTGCTCTGCGCCGGCCCCGGCGCCTTCGGGCGCAGGGCGGCTGCCGCATGGGTCTTGCTCGGGGCCGGCGGGCAGCCTCTTGCGCGGGGATACCTCTAGCAGAGACTGGGGCTCTCGGGTAGGACCACATTCAGCCACCTGCGGGGGGACCGGGGGAGGGGTGTGGAGAAGGGTTAGTAAGCCCAAGCCTTCGAGCCGCACCATTACAGGACCCCACACCGGCAACTCCAGATCCGGGCGTTCCCGGCCCAAGGGCCACGTTCTAGAAGTTAGGGAGCTAGGCGCAAACCTGGTGGCCACTCTCCGGTGCAACGCCGGAGGTCCCAGGTGAACGAGCCCCAGCCCGATGCCCTGCACCCCACCGCGCTCCATTCCACGCCCCGCTCCTAGGGGGCACCGCGCACCCCATGAGATCCTCGGTGTCCCGGGCTCCGAACCCAGTACCAGTCGGTCCCTGCCGCCCGCTCCCGGCCTGGCTGTGCATACCGCGGGCTGCGCCGCACACAGAGAGGCGCCGCGGCCGACCATGGCCCGGACGCAGGAAAGGTTGTGTTGGCTCTCCCGGTGCCGAGGCTACGTGATTCGGCCCGGGGCCGCCCCCATGGTCCGGCCTGCAGCTCCGAAGTTGGTGGCGCAGGCGAGTGGCGGAGAGCGCTCGCGGTGACCGCGGCGGCCGTTCTCCGGGGCGGGCCGGGGCTTGTCGGGGGCGGGGCAACGGAGCACCGCCCCCATCCTGAGCGCGTTGAAGGCGGGGGGTCCTGCTCCCCCTCGTGGCCCCTCCCACTCCTAGGACCCCCAACCTGTTAGGTGAGTGCGGTCGGGGGAAGGGCTCTGGGGGCGGTGGAGACACCCGAGTTACGCGCACGCATGCGCCTCTTCTCGCGCGCGACGCCGGGGTGTGCGAGCCTCCCGGGATGCACCCTCCCACTCGACACTTCGCAGTCGGGTAAACTGAGGTCTTTTGCCCAAGGTCACACAGCAAGTGGGGGACAAGGAATGGACAGGGCCCCTGCCTGCAGACTCCGGATCGCTTCCCTGGCACACCTAGTGCACTTCGAGGGTGGCTGGCCACCCTTTGGGTCTAACCGTCTCGAGTGGGAGAGAGTCTGCGTCTCGAGAAGTACAGGACGCTTCTGGGATCTGCCTCTTCGTGTCTGCGAGCGGCATGCGTGTCTTTGCAGCCGTGCGGGTGCCTGAAAGTGGCTGTGCGCGCTGTGTTCTGCCTGGGAAGCCGGAGGAAGTGGAGCTGCTGGCCCTGGGGGTGTGCGCGGGACCTGTTGTCAGCAGGCCTGGCAGATGGGAACTTAGCTCGGGAATTAATTGCCTGTTTGTCTCCGTCTTGGAGGTCGCCCCCCTTCCCCAGCGACCAGTTGCTGTCGCCCTAGCCAGATCCCAAATGTCACCGCTATCAGGTCGCAAGGGGCTCGGAGCCCGGACTCAGGGTCAACCCGAAATCCCAAATTGGAGCAAGCGGTGGGGCTCCCCGTGACACAAGCGCCACCTGCCGGCACCGTGCGCCCATGGCTCGAGGGCTCCACGCTTTCAGTGCGCAGAGCAGAATGACCCAGGGATATAGGGCTAAGCCGAGCGATTCTGAAAAAGACCCGGTCTGACTCCTAGAGCAGTCAGACCTTAGCACGGGTCTGTCAAGCGACCCTTCCTTTCTGTTTAACGCTCCTTCCCCCCACACACACCTGTGCCGCTTACTTAGCCCACCCCTCCTACACACTCACTGGCCAAGAAAGTGGGGTGAATGATCGGGTTTTCCAAGTCGGCTATGACTTAAGTCTGCAAATGCGCCGTGGAGAGCCGGCTCCCGGCTCTGCAACCCCTAATCCTCCAGGCCCTTTGCACTGAGCCAGGACTGCGGGGTCTCCCTCTTCTCTCCTAGCTCACCTCAGCCTCGTGAAGGAAGAAGATAGGCGTTGGCCCACCCTGGGATCTGGGCAGCCTCAGACACCACCCTCTCCCACCCGTCCCCGCAAATCCTGCAGACAGCCTCGCCCCCAGCGCCGCTACTGCACTGGGACAAACACCCGGGCCAAGGAAGCGGCTCACACATTTATATCCGCCACCACCACCACTCACACACCCAGAAACACCGCCCGGAACCCAGGCCCTGCGCTCGTGGCGGGCCACACCCGCAACTTCAGTTCCCTGCACATTCACACTCTACACTCGTGTGCCCAAAGGGGACAGACTACACGGTCCTGCAGAAACCGGGGGTGCGCCAAGCAGCGTCACCTAGGAGACTCAGATCACACTGCGCCCTGGCCTTTTCCTGACCCACCCCAGCTGGGTGAGACCTGGGATCCCTGCGCTGCGCTCTCCTCCCGGTGTCCGGATACTCCCTGCTCCATCTGGTCCAGGCGCAGCCTTGACTAGAGAGGGCGATGCAGGCAGCACCAACCCTGGAAAGTGCAGCAGCGAGTCTCCGCGGGATGCGGGACACCACGCGGGACCTGCCACGTTTTCCCGGTGCAGCGCAGCAAAGTCGCGGGACGCCGCTGCCAGCCTGGCCCCGCCAGCGCCCACTCACCTTGCCTCGCCGCCTCAGGAGGTGGCTGGTGAAGCCCAGGATGATGTCGGAGTCCAGACAGAGCGCCCCCATCTCCAGCAGGCTGGGAACCTTGCGGGGCGCGCCGCGGGGTGGCTCGGGGGATCCCGGCAGCGCCATGGAGGAGTGGAACGCGGGCAGCGGCCCCGAGCGCCTCCCGCCGCCGCCGCCGCCCCGCCCGCGCGCTCCCTGGCCGCGCTCCCGCCGTCGCCTCACCCAGCACAACTATATATAGCCGCCGCACCTATCCCATCCTCACTAATTAACCCAATCTCTTCCCCTTCAAAAGCCACTCAATCCTCCATATTATTAAACTCAACAACCAACTCCACATCACCATCACTACCTAACCAAAATACTAATAATAATTCTATAATAATACCAACCACTAATAACCCAAGAACTAACCAATTAGACCCTCGGGCCCCGCCCGCCCGCCGGCCCGCGCCGACAGCGCCCCCTCAGCCCCGGCGGCGAGCCGGACACGCGGACAGAGTTGGGGCGGTGTACAACCAAGAATGGGGGACCAAAATCCCACCAGGTTCGCATCTAACCCCAAGACGTCAGCACCCTGGCACTGGGCAGGAGCACCACCACCTAGTTGGGCTCCTCTAAACCTCTGAGGATAAGGGGCATCTTTCCAGACCCTTCCAGCTGTTTCCAGCTCGTCTGCCCTGGATACTCAGCGCCTTGGGGACCTGGTCTGTGAAGACACTCACGGAGGCAGATGACTCTGTGCCCCCCACCGCAGCTCCCCATGTTCTTCGCCTGGGGAAGTTCTTAGGAATCCCTGCATGCCACCCCAACCACCAGCAACAACCCAGCAGCCGAGGTAGGCTTTTACTAGAACACAAACTCAAGCGCCTCTGGCCAAGCAGGACTTCTGGGCAAAAAGGATCAAGCAGGGAGAAGGGGTTGCCCAAATAACCTAGGCTCATGGGGGAAGTCTTTGGAGGCAGAGGATATTGGAAACCACCCAGGGGGGACATGATCCTGGACTAGGATCTGAAAGGTAGCAGTTACAGGAATGGAGACCTCTTCAGAGACCTGGGCAGGTGCACCCTGCCCCTCCACACTCCATCGGGAGAAACTTGAAGTCTCTTGAGCCACATTCTCCAAGTCAGAGACAGACCCTAAAGTTCGGGGGGTCCCCCTGCCCTAGCTGAAGAAGAATGTGTCAGCCTGGCAGCCCAGGGGCTCTGTACTTCTGTTTGTCTCCACATTAGTCTGAACACTAAGCAGGCCTGCAATAACAGCCCACCTGTGTGTCCCCACTAAGGCTTCTAAACAAGAGAGCGGCCTGCTTCCCTTCCACAACTGCCACCCCTGGCCTGGGACAGAGATCAGGACAAGCCATGAAAGGGGTAGAGGCCCTCCTCAGCCCCCTCCTCTCAGCTCTCAAGGCCTGAATTTGGGGGGGGGTCTGGCCTCCTTCCTCTCCCATGGGACAGGAGTCTCTGGGGAAACCTTCCTGCCTTCCTCTTCCCCCACCCAGTCTATTCCAAGACCCTGAACCTTGGGAGGGGGCCATCCACCACCTCCAGGGATTGATTAAAGTCATTGTGAGAATTCTTTAACATTTAATTTACCAGGTCGAGGCCTGGGCAGACTGTCCCTGGGGAAATCTAGGCCAAGGGAACCAAACGGGAAAAACCTCCTGCAATTGAGCAGCGCCTCCACAGGATTAATTGCCAGAGCTGGGCTTCCAATCAGAAGGCACACAAGACGTTTCAGGAAGGCCGCAGTGGTCATGTTTCTACAGTGGGCATGTGGGGCTCTACCCCCCCGCAACCTGAAGACGTGCCTACCTCCCTAAAAGACATCTTGACACAACACAGACCAGTACCTCTGGGCCAAAGCCTATGGTGCAACCCCCATCCCCATGGGCCTTTTTAAAAAGTACCTGCTTGCAGCTGGTGATTGGCGAGCTAAGCGCACACCTGGACTTGCTCCCAAGATTGTCTAGGCAGGACATGAAGTACGGCCAATACCAGCACTTCATCTTCTATGATAGTGAGTGGGCCGCAGATGGGAACAGGGGAGCTCCTAGAAAGATGGCCTTGATGCCATGTGGGGACAGCACCAGCGGTGGGCAGTGTGGCACACTCTTCTGTACTCTAGGAGAGAGTGTGTGCTTATCCCTGGAGAGGCAGGAGAGATGGAGGCATGCCTTTGGGGGGCCAGGAGGGGCTTTTACTCCATTCAATGTCACTGTGTGAGGTTCTAACCTTATGGGTTGTTTTAACCACTTGTTTGAGTATTTAATAAAGATGTTGGAGGCAGGGTGATAGACAGATGGCTGAGCGGTTAAGACCACTGGCTACTCTTGCAGAGGACCCAGGTTTCGTTCTCAGCATCCATGTAGCAGCTAACAACTGCCCATAACTGCAATTCCAACAGACCTGACACCTTCTTCTGGCCTCCACAGGAATTGCACAATGAGTGCACTTGCATACATGCATACGTGCATACATGCAACACACTCATACACATAAAAGTAATAAAAAAATTAAGATACTGGAAAAGGAATAGAGAGTCAAGACTGTAGATAAGGGTCTGAGGTCCACAGCTCCAGGACCACACCCAGCATCAACAGATCCTCCTCATTCAAGGGGGGCTTGGGACCCTCCTCATCTCTACATATCTGGTGGCTCACTGGGCTCCTTGCTCACTCACCCCAGGACCATGCTGGTTGGGGGAAGGAAGGGTGCTTCAAGAGATCAGCCAGTGATGACAGCCCTGTCCACAGGGAAGCAACTTCAACTCAGAGCTGGACCTCTCAGCTCTGAGGACCGCTGCAGCCTTGGGGATGTGAGGGGTCATCTTCAGAGGGTGTCTGAGAGCTGGGAATGTTGTGTGCCTATGGACAGGGCTCTGTTCTACCCACTGGACCATATTCACTCACTTATACTGACCACAATGCCAGGAGAGGATGTCATTAGAATCCCCATTTCACAGATGAGACTGAGACTGAGCCATGAAAACATTTGCCAGATGGACAGAGTCTGGGCTTCTCAGCACTGGGTCTTGCTGCCTCCTGACCCCCTTCACCGCCCCCACCCCCACACACACCCTGGCCTCAGGAGAGCAGCAGTG